GGCTCTGATCTGTACCCACGAACGGCTACGTGGACGCTGCAGTTGCGTCCGTTTGCCCGTAGGACGACGCCCAGCAGTCGTGTAGTACCTCAATGGAATCTTGGCCGCCATGACGTGGTATCCTTCAGCTTGTTCGTTGTTTCAACTAATACCCATTCGCGCGGGACAGAGTTAAACATGTGACAAAGAGGGGCTCTTGTCCTCGAGCAAGGGACACGGTCCAAAGCTGCCCGAGAATAGGGCTAGACGACGACGACTAGGGAGCAGTATGCTTTAGAAGCGTTTACGAGAATTGTCAGCGTGTCTGTATTACGCAGCCGTGAGCGGCGCCTCGTGCGAGTCGCTCTTGGCAATCTTTTGCTCGTGGTACGTCTCGAGGGGGAGGCCCGACGACTTGTACTTGAAGAGCGACGCATAGTTGTACGCATATCCGAGCACCGCCGAGACGATACCAATGAACGCCCCGGCCTAAAAGCCAGCATCGCGTCAGCACCCTACTACAAGTGCTCTAAATAGTTTGCATACCGCAATGTCCGAGTAGTGGTGCCAGTTGTCCATCGAGCGCGTGACCGCAATCCAGATCGCGAGGACCGTGGGCAAGAAGGCGATGAAAAACTTGACGTTGGCTAGGAAATGGCGACCGGCCGTCGACGTTGCGCTGTACTTGTGAAGGGCGACGACGTGGAAGCGCCCGAGGAGGTAGAGCTAAACAACGCGCGCGTCAGAATACAAGAAGAAGAAGGAGGAGGAATGTACGCTGAGGAAGAAGAGCGTCGAGAACGCCGTTGACGCGTGGCCCGACGGGAACGACTTGCGGCCCTCGGTCTCGCCGTGCTTGTCGGTGCAGAGGTTGGTGACGCCGTCCCAGACCACCGACGTGTTCCACTTGCACATCGAGTAGAAGCTCGGGCGGAACCGGCCCGCGAGGTTCTTCATGATGTTGGTCGCGAGCTGGCAAATGGCCGACGAGACGAACAACGAGAGAAAAAAGTCGCGCGTGTCATGGGCGATGCGCTGCTTGCACTGCAGCAGCACGTGGACAAGCACGGGGATGCCATACGAGAGGATGACGGCCAAGTACATGGGCACTGCCACCATGGTCCGGATGAGCCATTGCATCGTAGGTCGTCGTCGTCGTCGTACCTTGCTGATCGAGCTTGGGAGGTTCACGCTCGGGTCGCGCACGAACACAGTCTTGCCATCGTCGAGCGGGATGGCGACAACGAGGAGGTCGCCTACAACGCAATCGGTCAAGAGAGACTCTAGCATGCCGCCGAGTACGTTGGTAGAGGCCCGCGAGCGAGATGATGAGCGAGACGACGAGCATGAGCGTGCTCGTAGCGAACTCGGCGAGGCGGAGGCGCGCCAGGGTCTCTTGCCAGGCCATTGTTGTCGTCGTCGGCTCTCGGCTGGTGGGCGAAAGCCAGAATAAGTTCACAAGCCGCCAACATCCTGTATCATCCGGATAACGCACGCCACTTTGCACACGACACCACTTTGCACCTTGCACCTGGGTGTAGATACGTCAACGAAACCTCGGCGACGCTACCATGAAAGTCTGCCCACGCCACTCGCGTACCGGTACGCTGGGCGGACAGCAGCACTCGTGACGGCGACGACCTTCCAAGAAGGCCGTCCTCGGAGGCCTACCATCCGGATACCGACGTTCCGTGCATATCAAGTTGCACTTGCGTTTTGCAAATTTCAGCGAATTTGACACATTTTCGTGTCCCAAGACACATGCAGGGCCAACTGCTAGTCGGCGTCACCGTCGCGCTGCTGGCGCTACTCGTCCACGTCTGCATGCATCCCATGACGCAAGGTATGCGTAGTATAAGGGACATGTTTAGTGCAATGAGCGAGTAGGCGGTGAGCCCCTCGTGCAACTCGGGTCCGTCACGACGTCGTCCATTGCACTGTGGCTATCATGGCGCAACGCCACGTGGGTGCGGGTGCGCTATGACGCTCACGTCAATACACAGCCGCCACACGTGTTGCAATCACTTCTTAGCGGCTCGCCAGAGACGCTTTGGCTCGAGGGGCTGGCGCCGGCCACCACATATCGCCTGCACGTCGAGCTCTTGGACGAGACGGCGACGAATGTGGTCTACGCCAATGACATGCAGGCATCGACGCTGCCGGCGGACGTCTCGGCGCCCTTCTCATTTGCGTTTGGCTCGTGCACCATGGCGGTGCCCTTTCTGTACGATCTCGTCGGTGCGTGATCACGTCATTTACTGCTCATGTTACGAAACCCTGGTCGACGCAGGCTTTGGAGGCAACCTCGAGTACATTGCCTCTGTCTTGTCGCCTGCCTTTATGCTGCTCCTCGGCGATCAAGTGTACGCAGATGTCGACATGTATCCGCGGGACACGGACGCCTTGTACGAAGCGACGGTCCAGGACCGGAGCTATCAGGCGCTGACGCAGTCGACGCCGATCTTTAGCATGTACGACGACCACGAGATTTACAACAACGTGCGTGCATGCGTCGTCTGGGTCTTTCGTTGATGGATTCCTCCATCCTAGTGGAACCAAGGCGAAGACGACGACCCGCTGTACACCGAACGCGTTGGCCTCTTCCATCGGTACTTTGGCCAGCGCAACCCTCGGCCGCTGCGAGACGGCGATCACTACTATGCGTGGCAGGCGGGCGCGGCGTCCTTCTTCATGCTCGACGTGGTAGATGCCATCGTCTCGGCGACGCTGAGGTTGTGCGTTGGGTAGCGCAAGTACGCGTCGCCCAAGGCCATGGTCGACGGCCCGCAAAAGACGAAGCTCGGCGCCGTGCAGAAAAGCCATCTCCTTTCGTGGCTCCTTGCCGCCGAGACGCCGTTCAAGTTCATTGTCTCGCCCATGTCCGCATCGCTTCGCATGCGCTTGGTCGTCTGAGGTATTCTACTGCGCATTAGGGTCGTCTCGAGCCTCGGGCTGCACAGCACGGACGAGGGCTGGGCGCTGTACCGAGCCGAGTACCACGAGATCTTTGATGTTGTCGTGACGCACAACATCTCGGGCGTTGTCGTGCTCTCGGGCGATCTGCACTGGGCTGGCTTTTTTCAGCACGGCGCCTACCCCTTCTTGTTCGAGGTGCGACCCACCATGAACGTGGCGTACATGGATTGCGCTCTGTATTAGATGGGGGCGTCCCCGATCGCAGCGCTGCCCGTGCCACCGTTTCGGCCGCGCTGGCTGGTCAACTCGCCCGACACGCTGCATTTTAGCAGCTGGACGGGGACCCATTTCGGCCTTGTGGACGTGGCGTCGACGAGGCTGAGCATGACCATGTACCGCGCGCGCTTTGGACGGCCCGAGCCCGTGTTTACGCGGGAGCTGCTCTGGACCGATACGATTCCCGTACCCGCACGCTAACAAAGACTCGCGAAACACTTTTTTGTGTCAACGCCAAACGACGCCTGATCGTCGTGAAAGCGTCGTCTTGCTCTTTAAGGACGCATGGCGGGTGGAGAGAAGCCAAGGGCTAGTACCTTGTACACCTGGTACAGTGCGAAGATGGTCAGCAGGGTGCGAAATCGAGCGTCCACGGTGCAGAGTTCGCAGCCACTCTGTGTGGACACCTCCGGCCCGCGGCAACATGTGTTTTTCAAGACACGGACCATCCATTCCGTCTCTTCTTTGTCGATGGCTCAGTCCACACGCACAACGCATCGAGAGCTCCATACCACGTTTCCTTTCTTCAACATCAAATATGACGACGAGTGTGTCATCGCGCCACGAGCGGCGGCAAGATGGTCCACTTGGGTGTGAACACGGACCACTTGGCGGCTTCGGTTGCCGCCGCCTCCGCGCTCGAGAGCGCGATCTCGGGCTGACGCCGCTTGACGTACTGCACGCTGTCCGAGTAAGGCGACGGGGTTTGACGCGGCGAACGATACATGACCGTGTCGTCGCGCGGGTAATAGTAGTTGAGGTCGTCGAAACTGCGCTTCCGCGTGCCGAGAGGTTGGTGATAATGATGATGATGCTGGTGGTGCTGGTACATGCCGGGCAGCGGCGGCATCGGTCGTCGTCGGTAGCTCGCAATGCGCTGGGGACTGCGCGGTGACGCAAGAGGATGCATCAAGTGTGCCGCCTTGTGCTTCGGCATGCGCGTCGACCGGAGCTCAAACCACGTCGAGTGCAGTACGTCGACGCAGACGCCGGCGGCGAAGAAGTAGACGCTCATGCGGTGGCGGCGGTTCTTCTCGATGCGGCTGTCGTACGCGTACGACCAGCCGCGCTTGTTGACGTCCGGGTTGACGACGAAGCGGCGCCCGGCGCGCGTGTTTCCCGTCTCGACGACCGGAAACTCGGACGTGACGTCCACGCTCGCATACTGGCGGCCGACGACGAAGCGCTGATTTTCGTCGAGCGTCGAGCTCTCGAAGCGGCAAATGGCCCCGTCACAAGCCACGTGCGTCGTCGCAAAGACGCTCGAGCCGCAAAAGCCCGCGCTCTTGTGGCCGCCGCGGCCGTCGCAGCAGTGCGGGAAGCACCGAATGTTCTTCTTCTTGTCCTTGTTGTTGCTAAGTGCAATGTCAACTTGAAACTACATTTGAACAAGGAGCTCTTACCGCTGAAAGATGGTTTTGAGCGACACCGAGGTTTCGCAGCCCGTGCAGCCGAGTCGCCCGAGGCCGTGTCGGTCCATAGTACTACTACGTGTGCTGTGCGGCGAGGTGGCAAGTTGACGAATGATGAGCGATGACGACGCACATCGCAGCGACGTCGGACCGTGTGTACACCGAATATTTCGAACCCAGCTGCGGTGGTACGCCGGTCCACAGTGGTGCCGTTCTTCTGCACGGCTGCCACTCCACCGTGTAATAGTACGGTAGGGTACCCTCCTTCCTTTTCAGGATGGCTGCGCCCTCGCGCAAAGGATATCTCGCGACTTTGCCGTTGCCTTTGCCTCTCTCTTGGACGTCATGCACGTCATGTTTACAGTACGTACGTCGTACGAACCAGACGCAGCCATGGGCTCCTTGGCCTTTTCAGCGATTACATGACACAGCCGACGCGAACAACGCTCCTATTGCTTCTATACAGCGTGCGAGTATTGATCATACGTGTCTACCAAAATGCAAACGACTGGATGCCACCGACGACGACGTGGATTCGAGTTATCATGCGAGGCTCCGACACCGTCGTCGCACATGGCGCGCGACATGTGCTGCCGATTAATCGCCGTCAACAGCTTGGGGTCGACGTCCCACGCTGCACCAGGATTTGCACGGTGCGAACCAACTCTTCTTCTTCTTCTGTTTTTACTTGTTCGGAAATGGACGTTCTCGACACCGACGAGCGTTGGTACTACGTGGTGCGAAATGCGCTTCCTACCATCATCAGCATTTGCCCTTTCGAGCCTCAAGGCACCGCGTTTTTGGAAGCGTCGTGTCGACAGGTGCAACGAGAGAGAGCGCCGCATCGTACCCAGTACGTGCACCGCCATTACAAACAACGACGACGACGACCATGACGTCGTCTGCAGCCACAAGCTTGAGCCTTCTGGCCGACGCGTGGGCACACTCGTGGCGCGATTGCGCGCCTACGTTGTGCAACGCGCCGCAAACCGACTTTGCGCCGTGCATGTGGCACGTAAGCACGCTCGCCTCGACCTCAAGTCTCAACTGTACGTGGCGCTACGAGGACGACGCGAGTGACGGCGCGCCCATCCTGTATGCCGACGCGTCGACGTTGCCGATCCCGCTCGCCCTTCACGTCCGGGCCGCGCCGCTCACAGTGCGCTGTGCCTTCAATGCGACGACCTTGGAACGCCGCTTCGACCTGCGCACCTGCGATAGTTTGACGCGCTACGACGTGTACCACCCGCTGCACCAAGGCGCCTTCTTGGAGCAGACGTGCGCGACGGAGCGTGGGCCGCACCAAGCCTGCGCCGGCCATATTATCTCGTGGGACAGTGCACGCACACGCTATCAAAACGCCACTCGGCGGCCGCTCGAGTGCTGCAACGCCCGTGGCGTGCTCCCGGCCTTTTCCTGCCATCTCAACACCACATTTGAGGGGCTTGGTGTCTGCCAAGTCGCTCCGTTCGCCACGTATGGCCTCTACGACGTGCACGTGCTGCAGATCTCGGTCGACTTTGCGTACGCGTACCCCAACATCGCGATCGGCTTTGGCGGTTTGCTTGGGCTCGTCGCGCTGCTCGGGACCTTGGTCTGGGTCGTCCAGTTGGCCGCGCTTGTGGTCAACGACCACGACGATACGCGGCGCATGGAAACGAGCTACTACTACAAGGAGCTGCCAGCGTAGCTCCAACATGGCATTGATTTATACAGCGTTAAAGCGTCTCTTGCGCTGTCTCTACTACTGGCGGAGGATGTGTCGGTGCCACAGCTGAAGATGAGGTGTCGCACGCCAAACGAAGGCGTCGCTGCCAGAGCCAGCGACGCGGACGTGGAGGATCTGCTGGGTCGGGCTGTACAGTAGGATGTATATGGTACGTGCTGCCACGCACCGAATCGACGACCGTCAACGTAGAATGACCCATGTACATCTTCTTGCGCTTGGCTACCGAACCAACCCACGCACGAGCCTCTAATGCTCCTCACTTGACGCACCAGCCATACCCCACGAGCGCATGAGTAAGTTCTCCATCTTACTTATCATTGCATGGATTGACTCATTACAACGATGCATGCATCCGATGCGAACGCGACGCTGCATCTTGACGATGACCATCAAAATCTTAGCGCCAAAAGCCACCAATCACCGTCCGGGGCGTTGGTGGCTAATGACCAATCACAATCGACCCAGCGGGACAGTGAGATTTACAGGCGATGAAGCGCAAGGCTGCGACGAAGGGTGCCAAGGCGACCAAGCGCCAGGCGAAGGACGGTATGTGGCCATGCTAACGCGTTAGCGCACAAGCTCTGTGTAGCCAACGCGACCGACGTATTGACCATTGTCGCCTCCACCGACACCTACCCGATGCTGGACGAAGATGCCATCCTCGCCAAGCTCGTGCACCCGATGACGACGGACGATTTTATGACGACGCATTTCCGCCAGAAGGCCCTCGCTGTGCACGCGTTGCCGGCTCGCTTTGACCAGCTTGTTGCGTCGGGCCTGTGCAACTTGGACGTGAAGGCGCTCCTCGAGGTCACGTCCTCGGACGAGTACCAAGCGTGGGTGCAAACCACGGACAAGAAGATCGAGCCGGTCAAGGTTGGGACGGTCGAGCAGGCGCTCGTGCTCCACCGCGCCGGCCACTCGCTCTACATGCGGTCGTCGGAGGCGCTCAGCGCGCTCTTGATTCCGGCGCTCGCCAAGGAGCTCGGCATGGGCTTTACCACGACGTCGCTCTTTGGCGAACTCAACGGCGAAATTGAAATCTTTTGCGGCAAGGCGGGCCACACGACCGATTGGTCTCTCCAAGATATCGTCGTCGACGGTTGTGCTAACGTATGCGTAGGCACTTTGACTCGATGGAGAACTTTACACTCCAGCTCGCCGGCTCCCAGACGTGGAAGCTCCAGAAAGGGACAGTGCCGCATCCCGTACGCGGGTGCACGTCGCACTACAAGACGCAGGACGCAGTCGAGCAGGAGCTCAAACTGCACCGGATGACGGACCCGACCTTTGCCCCCCTCGACGATGCCGACGACTACGTCAGCGTCACACTCCGCCCGGGCTCGATGCTGTACGTTCCTGGTGGCATGTGGCACCGCGTCGAGTGTGCGGACGACGAGGACTCGATCTCAATGAGCTTGAGCATGTTCTCGACGCCGTACGCTGACGTCGTCGCCGACGCCGTCCGCCAGCTCTTGTTGCAGACGTCGGCAGGTCGGGCTGGTGTCAACTACGCGTCGATTGAGGACGCCCACGCACAGCTCGCAACCGTGCTTGAGACGCTCCGGACGCAGCTGCAGTCGATCAAACCTGCCGACATTTGCCCGCCACGCCTCTTGGTGCACGGTCGGGACGGCCAGCTAGCGACCACTGACGAGGACGAGCACGACGAGGACGATCATGAGCACGAGCATGAGCATGGCAGTTGCGAGGATCCCGACCAGACCATGACCATGACCATGACCATGACCACGCGGACGAAGACGAGAGTGACGACGAAGACGACGACAGCGCGTCGACGGTGCTCGATGCGTGTGACGCGCAGCTCGTCGAGGATCCGTCCGTGACGATCGCAGCGAGCGCGCGCTTCCGCTTGAACCCACTGGCCAATTTACTCGCGTACCGCGACGTGCCGTCCATCCATGCGCGCATGGACCACGACGTGGACCGCCTCTATGTCCTCAACGTCGGGTATGGCCATGGCAGCTACGCGTCGAGCTTGCGCGTCGAGTTTGTCGTGAGCGAGTCGCAGGTCGACGCGCTGAGAACGCTGAGATCGAAAGCGACGGGCGCACAGTTTACGCTGCGCGACATTGCAAGACCGCCGACGCGCGACGTGGAAGTGCTCGTCCATTTCCTGGCCCACGTCGGCTTTCTCACACGGCTTGACGAGGTCGAGGTCCAGCCCTTGCACTGCATGGCCAACGCCAAAGAGAAGGGCTTCAAGCAAGGCCGCTGCCGTGTGTGCAAGGCGCGAGGATCGGCGCAGGCCGGTGGGCGCGAACATCAAACGTACTCGTACTGCCCAAAGTGCACGGAAGACAACCAAGGCAAGACGTTTTACCTGTGCAAGGACGTGCACTTCAGCGACGAGCCGATTGCAGGGCGCCAGTACAGCTGCCACGACTTGTGGCACTACGTCTGGAAGTTCCAGGTCCCAACGTGATGATTTGGACGGCCCGTTGCGAACGCACCAACCTTTATATATGGAATATTCTCTTACATGTAAATCGCTGTGGCCGCAGAATCGGCCACTCTGTCCTCGGAGGGTTGAGCGAGTCATCGATCCGGTCGCGATGAGTCCCACGGCCAGAAAGATCGATTTCATTTCATCTGGGTTTCCGAGTTGACACAGCCCTTTTCTTTCACCAGACAAGTGGCACCGCGGCGTGACGCCAACGCAAGGATGACCGTCGTAGCTCACACCCTCTCTCGAAGCTATTCCGAGTCTGAAGAGACGGGAGATCGAGAGGTGAGAGACAGGCGACGCTCATGAGTCCTACCGCAGCAGCAATGCCTGGGAGCAAATCACACAGCTTGGCCCGAGTAATCACCGCCATTACAAGGAACAGTAGCTTCGCCTCTCATCGCGGTTCCAACCAGAAAGGATGGCAGCAGCTCCGAGAACCTCGACAGGCTACGGTGCACGCTGCGCCTCACCTCTGCGGTGCGAGTCAGCTCCTAACCTCCTCCTCGCCTGGTATTTAGTTGTAGGACGTGCATGCTACAAGAGCCCTTGTCGAACGACGACGGGTGCTGGCAGCGCGCCAAACGCGCCAGCGGGAAAAGGCGGGCCAAGGTTGGACACCGG